TATGAAGCCTCAGCTCGATCCATCATGCGGATCATTCAAGTATGGCACTTTTCGTTATTTGCCAGCGAGTCAGTTGCAGTATGCTTTGCATGGGTATAATTTTTTTTATCTTGGAAGCTGTAATACGTCACCTCAAGAGATCAATCCACTCGTGGCCAGCCATGAAATAAAGAAAAATATAAGGTATAAAGTATCAAAAGTATAATGTTGTTTACAATCTTTTGCAAACACACCAAGCACAGTTTGGTGGAAAAACATTACAAACTACGACGATCGTGCGAATATTTCGGCTTGAAAGACGTAATTCATGTCCGAAACAGCACACTAATGGAGAAGAAGACGGTATTGGTTAGACGGGAGTGCAGGATTGGTAGGAATAAAATGGATGGCGAATAAATATTAAGGAATTCATCCATGTGAAGATAAAATTATAACATTGAGACAATTAGGGGATATTAGAACTTCTAAGCATATCTAGGACGCTTTTCATACAAATCATCCAGAGTAATCCTTTGTCTACACGTTGATAAGATATTGGAAACGGTCAGGTGAATATTGCTCATCCGTTTGAATCCCAGATAGGAAGCGTATTTTCTGATATTCGATGGAAGTTTATTCCATATTGACTCATATTTCACAGAAAAAATTTGAGCCGAGTTTGGTACGAGGCTTTTGAATATGTAGTATGGGCTCTCTATTTCTTATAGCACTTGAGAGGTTGGAACTCGAATTATGGCTGAGCTATAAAGCTTAAGCCGAATAATAAGCGGTAGAGAGTGCACAGATTTAGTTTAAGTCTGCGCACCCGTAGCGGCTGAAGTTTTAGAGCCTCGCAACGCTCACGGTAAGTCATAGGGTTAGGCATGTTCAAGCATCTCTTTATGAATGATCGTTGGATGTTTTCCAGTACTGTGATGTCCAGTTTCATCAGACTTCCATGCACTATAGTACAGTATTCAAGCTTCGGCTTAACACACCTTCTAAAGGCTTGAAGTCTGGATTTCCTGAAGATAAGAGTTCGGTTTATGTAGGCGGTGCCTTTTCTGGCAGAAACCTGCAGGAATATAACTTGCCCTGAAAAATGAAATGAGGCGGAATAGTTTAGACCAAGGTTTTGAACTGCGTCACATACATGAATAGGAGTGTTGTTTAAGGTTAGGATTTTCGGTGGGGTGTACAGCCGTAGTACAATAGATTACATTTGTCAGTGGCGAAGTACAACTTCCAGGAGCTTCTCCAGTGCTCTAATGCTGAAAAGTCAGATTGAATACATGTTAAATTAGGACTACGTGGCCCAGGAACGCAATTTTAATGCCATCAACAAAGCGGAAAATAATTTCTTCAAGATCATTAAAGTAGATTAAGGATAAAACGAACCCAACACGCTTCCTTGCATCACATTACTAGATATTGAAGTGGCTTCAGATGTACAGTTATCAATTCTGACTGCTTGCTTTCTACCCTCGAGGGAGGAAGACAACCACTTTAGAAACGCAGTTGTGATAACATGACATAAGCTTCTGCAGCAATAAGTTGTGTAGGACACGGTCAAAGGTTTTTCGCAAATCATTTCCGGCGTCTCTTGTTCTAGTTACATAATCAAGACAAGCTAACTGACAGGTGATGCATGACTTACTCTTTAAAAAAACGTGCTAATGTTTACTGACAAAGCTCATAGGACACAAGTATTCTATTATGCGTTCTTGAACTAACCTCTCCATGATTCTGGAAATAATGTATGTATGGGGAATTGGGCGGTAATTCTTTGCATCTTGCATAGAATCACTTTTGTGTCGTGGAATTATAATCGATTGTTTCTAGTGCATAGGATGCTCTCGTTTGATCAAGTAAAGCGTAAATACATTAAGCAGAAACAGGGGGCTGTCCAGGCCTCCTTGTTTCATTAGAACTGGCGAGATGCTGTCAGGGCCTGGACAGCATGATGAACGAACTAATGTGATTTGGCGACATATATCACCAAGCTTGAATTCAACCGTTTGGAGTGTATTGCTGCCTTTGCTTATCAGCTTGGGTTGTAGTTCCTCTCTCGCAGTGGTACTATAGATAGACATGAAGTTGTCATTGAAGATCGAACAGATGATTTCGCGTTCGGTTACAGCAGTTCCATCACAGTTTACAGTAGAGTTAGTATTACTTGCTTTCCTGTCCTGTCTACAAACCAAAAGTTTTGAGATGGAGCATGTCACCTTTGTGCTGTTCAGTACAATTAGCTCCTCGGAACATACCATTTTGTGATGATCATTATATAACGCTGTTAGCGTTCTGGTATGGAGCATCATTAGGATAAAATGGTTTGTTTTCCGAAACTTTTTCTTTACTTTATATAGTTTAATGGCTACCTTTTTCGAGATACCTGCTGGAGCGGCAATCCCTTTCAACTTCTTAGTGCATTCTGGAACCACTATTTCAATGCAAAACTGAATACGGTAGTAGAGCTCATCACAAGAAATCTGTACATCTTACGCTTGAAAAATTGCTCCCAATTCGAAGACATTATGAGATCTAAGACTGACCCATCCACAGAAGAGAATGGGCGGTATTTGGTCACTGATTGTATCGGTTTGGAAAGAATTTGGAACAAATCACCAACGATGTTGTGATCACTCCCCGGTAGTTTGCCACTGATGTATGTAATCACATTTGAACATCTCATCGTAAATATTAGGTCAAGTGTGTTTCCAAACCGGGTGAGCTCTTTGACGTGCTGTACCCATCCTAATCGATCAAGCGTGGATATTAAAAGTGCCGCGCTCTTGTGGTTCATTGTTAACTGACCAGTTGATTTCGGGCATGTTAAAATCCTCAGTGATGATTTTATTAGTGTGTGAGAGGGCGGCAATAAAAGCAGAAGTGTCTATCAAGTCAGCAGTTACGGTCACCGCAACTGAGGGTGGTCTGTAAATGCAACATACTAAGTGATTTATTGGAGAACTAGAAATGGTAATCCACACCGAATCAGGAAGTGTCCGAAGGAGTGGTTCATCCAGAGGAAGAGTCAGGTATAGGTCTTTGACATAGATTACACACCCAGCTCCTTTACCAGATGGGCTCTCATTACGAAACATGTTATATGAGATCTAATCTGTTGGCTCCTCTTGTGGGTTCATCGACATATTGGGTCCAACTGTTGATTTAGCTGCTACGAATTATTCACACGAGGCTTCTAGACATTCTTATGATGAGGCCGTCCAGTCAGTATGTGGCAAATTGAGATATCTACCTATAATATGTATCGCTTTATGGATTCTCGTGCTGCTCAAAAATTATGTGTGCTTTCTAACCGTGAGAAATACGTTGGCTAATTTCCCTGCACAAAAGGTTAATAAGGGACAAAATGTCAGCCAAAGTACTATGAGGTACATTTTAACTATGAACTGGACTGAAGCTGTAGACGATGGAGTAGGGGTCGATGTCATCTACCTGGACTTTTCGAAAGCATTTGATCGCTTAAACCATCGCATTCTCCTTCACAAGCTTCGGAATTACGGCATTGACGACCCAATCCTGAGTTGGATTGACAATTCTCTAGAAGAACGACGGCTAGTGGTGAGAGTCCGAGAATCATTGTCTGATGCAATCGATGTGGCGTGCGGAGTACCACAAGGCTCGGTTCTTGGACCTCGTCTATTCTTGGTGTTCATTAACGATTTGGCGAGATCAATTGCTTCCGATTTCCTATTTTTCGCTGATGATATCAAGATTTGGCGAAGGATCAGAGGACCGGAAGACCATGAACGGCTCCAGTGCGATCTTAACACAGTGTCTAACTGGTCAGTTCAAAACGCCCTACCGTTCAATATAGACAAATGTCGCGTCGTACAATTACGCCATAGTCATAACTACACCTATTCACTTGGGACCAACGGACTGCAGAATAGCTCCCAGGAACGTGACCTGGGTGTGATCGTACAGAGCGACCTCAACTGCTCAGAACAGGCTGAGGTAGCTGCGAAAAGAGGCAGCCAGCATGTCGGCATGCTGCGAAGGGCATTCGGGAGATCTGACTCATCAATCTTCCCAATGATGCACAATTCCTACGTGCGCCCGCATGTTGAATACGCTATCCAAGCTTGGCAACCTTAGTTGAAGGGTGACCTAGAAGTGATACAGGCACCACAACGGAGAGTAACAAAGAATGTGTAGGGTCTGCGCTATCACTCTTACCACCGAAAGCTGAAGTTGTTGGGAATTTTCAGCGGGCGCTATCGGACTGCGCGGTGATCTCATATTAGCGTATCAAATATTGAGTGATCCCAACCACGTATGCCGCCATTTGTTGAAACTTAGCCACAACACGCAGCTCAGGGGTAACTGCTTAAAGTTGAAGGAACAATACAGCCGTCTAGAGTGTCGACGGAATTACTTTTCCCTTCGGGTTTGCAAACCTTGGAACGCACTCCCAGACTCAGTTGTATCCTCTCCTACCTTGGATGTTTTCAAAAAACGATTAGATGTTGCTCATGGCTCCCAACATTTTGTTACCTAAACTCCCCTACTGTGGATTACGCCAAGGATGCATTTCAACAGGATTTATGTATCAAATCGACCTAAGTGAGCGACCATATTTTACTTTTCTTACTCCTTACCTCAATGATCACTGCACCCCAGTGTCTTTCTGAACGTTTACGCTCGATAATTTTAATTTTACACTGATGTTACTTATCAAACTATTCATCTCGGCAGACGTTCGATAGATGACCCAGACATATTTTGATTTCATCATATTCACCTCAACCATCCTACGGGACTTGTCAAGCACTTGCTTTTATCCCGTGATAAATCATTGTTCATTGTTCATTGAGTCAGATAAACACTAGGACTTCTGTCAGCAAAGTCCGTCAAACGTACATTTCCTTGCATACACTTGGAATAAATTCTTTACTGAAGCCAACTTTTCCATCCTCCACCAGGACCTTACAATCACAGTCACAACAGAAAGGCCGGAAACCGAAGTGGATATTATTCCAGACCAGAATGAAATGTCAGCCATAAATATTCAAACGTTTGTCGATCAGCAAGTAAGTGCAGTATGGTAGACTGGCGACGTTAACTGAAAGAGCTTAAAGAATTCCGCCTACAGTATTGTTTGGAACCAGTCGAACAACAAGTGCATCACCATGTGGGTTTTGGAATCTGGGGAATTCAATGCATTGTATCATCTGTTTGCTAAGTATGTGAGGCTGACTACCGTTATCCTGAAGCAAAATTTCGGATAGTTATAAGGAGGAGGGTGAGTACGGTAGATAACCTATCATATCACTTGATTATTTGCTTGTAAATGTCGGGTTCCTGAGCCACAAGATGTTTACCGCTATGATAAAAGTGCATCGACATATGTTGAGCAGGCACTCCAAATACTGAATGGGTCTCAACACAATGGGATAAAGTAAGATTCACTTTACTTCACACATACAAACAATGATGTCTCGTTTCGTAGTAGCAGGAAGGAACTTTGCACAAGCGTTCATGGGCCAACATATGTATGTGACACGAGGGAATTTGTATAACCCGTCCCATCATTTACGTTTTACACCGAAACGTGGATCCTATAGAATCATCCAGTAACCAAATCGTTTTCTGCGTATGTGCATAGGAATGGAAATTGCATGAACATGTGGAAGTCACGAAACGTATACTGAAGCAAGAATACTCCAGTTCCATGAAGAATCACGCATGTCTGTCGGTAACTTGTCGGGCGGCTCGAAGGCCAGGCTACTTCTATTGGAACGTTTTTCTTATTATGGTGAGTTTTAGATAGATGCAATGGCCAAAGCTTTGTTCACTGCTGCAAACCGTCAATTTAAATCCTTCAAGTTTAACTACTTATTACTGGTGAATGGATGGAAATCATTCGATTTTGAGCAGTTTTTACGTAATGACGAGCTATGAACAATGGTTTATTAGTGGTTTATTTGTAAAAGGGATACATCGAGTTACCATTTAATGGTAAAGTCTCCGCAAGCAGGACAACTAAACGCATAGTCTCGATCATTCAGCGTACCTGCTGCGCTGTGCAAGCAGTAGTTCTCAACAGAACCAGCAACTTGTTGGTAACTTTAGTAAAGGAAGGTGAACCCCACGGCGCACAAATGACATTGAGTTTAAACAGATTGTGTGTAACTGATGAGTCAGTCACATAGACAGAACTGATGGGGCCTTGGATTCCAGAGGGGAGGAACATCTGTCAAACTGAGTTCAGTGCGAAGGTAATCCATGCCCCCCTGACAATACGTGTTCACGTGCCCCGCCGACATTGTCCATAGGCAGGCAAATTTTGGCTACCCGTCACCGGATTCATTCTTTATCAGCGTTTCGGATCTCGTTGCCTCATACAAATCCACATCGTTCGCAATTTGCCATTGACGTCGCGACAAACCGATACACCTTAGCCGTCCAAAAGTAACTAGTTGTTAACTTGCAGTTGTCTTGCTCCTAATGCCAACAACTCTGATAACATCGCTGAACGTGATTGGCTTGGTTATACCCTGTGAACTTCATAATAAAGCGAGGGCTTGACAACTCTCGTTGGATGAGCGGATTCGCGATTGTAAAACAAAAGTATAAAATGACAGGAAAAGAGGGAATTCCAGATTCCAGTGACTCGCCAACCATTTCATTAGAACACTGACCCAGTTTTACTCACCGCTCGTTACCGAGATCGCTGACGTGCACATTGTTTTGAGTTATTTTGTCCTCCGAGTGAAACGGACTACATCAAGAGATACAAATTCGACAATGTTTCGTTGTGAAGTTTTGAAATGCATTAATATACGAGTAAAAATGAATTGAGTTATAGAAGCGTTCCTTATTTCGGGATATTCAAAGGAAAAACTTTTGTGAAAGCAAACTCAATGCACCAATTCAACTCTTGCTGGATGTGCATTTTGCAATGTCAGAACGAATACCCACTGCTATCTTACATTCGTGAGTGTGGTTTACACATTTTCCCACGATATCACATAGGAACTTAAAAAGTGATAAGGGTGTTGGTAGGTCATCGATCGTTTTTACACCGTCTGTGATTATGTTTTGATGGAGATGTATAGATACAAATTTCCGTTTATCTAAGTAATACAGTATTTATTATTCAGATTGTGTTGACTGCCTATCATTTTAGTGCTGTGGCTGAGTTGCAGCAGGCGGCGACAGGCGTGTTTCGGCTTCGCCAGTGTTAGGTGAATAATGCCATGGTCTGCTCACTGATGCCGATATTCATAACTGTATAATCAATGCTAAGGCTGATGTTGCATTCATGATGCTTGTCCACCGCATTTGGGCTAAACCAACTTACACTTAAACTAGGTCTTTTTAAGGTGGATAACATTACTTCTACTTTATTTGGTTTTTTCTGCGTACTTGATAATCTTCTCCTAAGCTGGACATGCCGCTCATGCAAATTGTGGTAAACTTGAGTAATTTTATCGCGTGGTATTTTTAAAAAAACTTTCGGACATTTTGTACTTACTGTCGATTCACTTATAACCAAGTTCCTGCCTATGCTCATTTAGCGAGTATTTATGTCGTCATATGCGTTTACTTTATTTGATATCGGTATTTCGAATGATCGGCTGTTGTTTGATATCCCCGGTGTGGGTGCGCTTGATGTGCATGTTGACAAGGTGCCTACCTGTCTATTTCCCACTACCTCCTCCATATAGCTCCAGGAGACAGTTGATCGTTGCTGGAGGAGATGTGGTGTGCGGTCGCTTTTGTCGTGTTAGGCTCGTAGAGTAGTTCCATGCACTCAGTGTGGAGCGGACTACGGTCCAGCCACCGCCTTGTGTGCGCTTGCTTCCCCAAATACAGTGTGCTTTTGTTTGCCTGTGAAGGAGTGTGGGCCGGCTCCGTTGATGAAACGTGGTTTCCACCCGCATGCCTCCTGGTCTTATTCCTTCGGGTTTACACTGGATATGGGTGTGTGGATGGAGCTGGGGGTGGTGCAGCGCAAGCTACCCATGGCCCCTCTGTAGGCAAAGGCGTCCTGTGGGTGGCCACAGTGACAGGCAAATCCGAAACCGGATGCCGCCAACCATAGTCCAAGGGCTTGCACTCCGCTATGGTAGGGACGATAGGTAAAATCATCTAGCGAATTTACTCACATTAAGTTGTAGAGCTTCAAGCACATCAACACCGTGTTTTCGCCAGAGACGCCAGGCTTACATTCTTACCCATATGGTGCCTCACGGAGGCGTTCAGCATTTACAGAAAGACAGATGGTTGGAACTCTCCAAACACTCAAAGGTAACGCTAGGAAAAATTTATTAAGTGGGCGAAAGGCTATCTAGTGCTAAAAATAAGGCACCGAAAGATGGCTAGCTAGGGAAAGGTGTGGTCGCGTGCGCGGAGAGCAAAGATGGCCGCGGAGCCGAGGAGCGTCGCGCCGTTCGAAGGCGGATGCTATGTTGACTCAAACAAACGCGAGCAACGTTCAAACAGGCGAGCGGCTATTTTGCTATGTACATCGAGAAAATATAATTTTGTGATTTTGTAATATTTTACGCAGCATGCGGCAGCCAAACAGGGGAATCTCCAGGTCACTACACAGCCCCCTCTTAGAAGGGAACCGTAGGTGACCCTTCGATCTACGTGAGGACTGTCCGTCGCCGGCCAGCCTTCTGCGAGACCAGGCGGTGAAACCTGATGCAGCTGCTGGGGGAGAACCAATGCGATCGGACGCTAGGGGGCTCCCACCCGTGTCCTCCCTACAGGTGCCAAAAACACAAAATGGGGGAAATGTTCGTAGCGTTCGAGTGCGTAGTGTCAAAGCACACGATGTTTGAGCACGTAGTGTCCGCAAACGTAACGTTCGATCGTCGTTGAACGTCCGCGTGTCGGGGATATGAAAAAGAAGTGGAAACGCGGAGTGTCAAACAAGTGCGAGCGACAGAGCTAACAAAAGGCGATAGCACTTACCGAGTGCGATAAGCGAATAAAGCGAGAACCATTTTGTGTTTTCAAAACGATTTTCTCCTTTTTTGGATTTTCAAAACGTCTTTGCGGTTTTTGGGGTTTTCAAAACGCTTTGCAAATTTTTTTGGGTTTTCAAAACGTTTTTGTTGGGCGGGTTAGGCCACAAGCAAAAAGGAAGCGGGAAAAGAAGAATGAAAAGAAGACTAATCTTTTAATCGCGCTGGCCAATGAACCCGCCTACCTGACCTAGTCGATTTCGGACGTTCGGTCGGAGGCGTTGTCGATCCAGCAGTTTTGTCGGATGAGGACGCTTTCGGCTCGATAGAAACGTAAGGAACTGAGTCGGAAGAGTTGGTCGGAGAATGCTTCGTAGCATCGGAAGTAGGCGTGTCGTCGATCATGGGCTGCGTTGACTCGTCCGAAGGTGGACAGGAGTCATCGTCGATATCAGGTTCCACATGGGCAACCTTGAGACGGTCGATAGAGACGGTTTCACGTTTACCGTGGCGGTCGATAACGAATACGCGGTCCTTACGTTTAAGAACCTTAAATGGACCTTCGTAGGGTCGTTCGAGTGGTCTGCGTAGACCATCGACTCGAAGGAAAACGTAAGTGCAATGCAGTAGATCTTGTGGAACGAACGATTTACGTCGTTGTTCTCGCACGTCGGTCGCTTTGATATGGCGCATGCTCGTGGCTAACTGCCGAGCGTAATTCACGTCGTAGCGAGGTGTTCTAGGGTTTTCAGAAAAGAAGTCCCCAGGTAGTCGAAGAGCTTGTCCATATACCAGTTCGGCGCTGGACGTGTGCAAATCAGCTTTAAGAGCTGATCGGATACCAAGTAGTATCATGGGCAATGCTTCGGTCCAGCTTAGTGCATTGGCGGCACTAAGTGAGGCCTTCAGCTGTCGGTGGAAACGTTCCACCATGCCGTTGGATTGCGGGTGATAGGCGGTAGTCCGGATGCGTTGACATCCGAGGACTTTGAGAAGATCGTTGAAAGTCGAGGATTCGAACTGCGGACCGCGGTCGGTAGTCACTGTGGCTGGACAGCCATGTGAAGCGACCCAGCGCTCAACAAAAGCACGCGTTACGGTGTCCGCGGATACGTCGGGTATAGGTACTGCCTCGGGCCAACGGGTGTATCGGTCGATCATGGTCAAAATGTAGACCATTCCTCTGGATGGTGCCAAGGGTCCAACTATGTCGAGATGGACATGGGCGAAGCGAGCTGAGACTTGCGGAAAACGACCAAGCGGGGCGGACACGTGCCGCTGTATCTTGGCCTGTTGACAAGTTAGACATCCGCGTGCCCAGCGCTTAAGATCGCGTTGCATTCCGGGCCAAACGTATCTCTCGGATATGAGCTTGATCGTGGCTCGGATGCCTGGATGGGCGATGTTATGAAGTGTGTCGAAAACTAGACGTCGAAAGGTTTCTGGAACGACAGGTCGAGGTCGTCCAGTAGAAGTATCGCACAAGATTGTGCCATCAGATGACGGCAGTGGATGCGGTGTGATTCGTAGTGAAGAATCTTGTTTTACGTTCTGACAGTCAGTGTCGTTTAGTTGCGCGGTAGCCATGGCAGATAAGTCGATTGCCTGGCCAGCGGTGTGGATTGCGGAGACGCGCGAAAGGGCGTCAGCAACGACGTTATTCTGACCTGAAATGTGTCGGAGGTCAGTAGAAAATTGAGCCACGAAATCCAGCTGACGAACCTCACGTGGTGAGTGTCGAGCTGATTGATTTCGAAAGGCGTAAATAAGCGGCTTATGATCGGTGAAGATAACGAAGGAATTACCTTCTAAGACGTGCCTAAAATGTCGAACGGTT